ATTTCGTCCTTGATTGCGTGATCGTCTTCCTTTTTATTATTTCCGGAGGCCATTCTAATACTTATCGTTTTTGCTGTGCGTGCATGAGGTGCAAAAGTTTTCCAAATTTTTTATCCAAGCTTAATTGGGATTTAGCCTCTTTTTATTGAGATCTCCAGAAGCTCGGAGAAGTTTTTATTATATCGACTATCGAGCCGCCCATATTTTGGGGATTTAGCGATCTCGTAAAACACGCCGTATTGGTCTACGATTACAATCTTTCGGTGTGCGTTTCCGTTTCATCGTTTGTAAGTACCCCCTTGTGTAATTTTTGTTGTACATCCTGTATTTTTTTTTGTAGAATTGTATTTAACTCCCTGTAGTTCGTCGCACACCGGATGACTCTTCCTTAAGGCCTCCACCACCTTGTGAGTATTTTTTTTTGGTTTGTTTGTCGTTTTGCGTGTCATTATCTTTCGTTCCCCTTTTAGGGCCTTCTTTTCTGTAATTTAATTACTGTACGGCGTCTACCTACTACCTTCATGTAAGCAGCCCCTAAACGACACCATCAGCCGGATCTGAAGACACGAAGACGCCGTTTACCCCGTTTCCGTTCCCCTAATTCATTGTTCCTTTTCTATTCAGTATTTCCCCTACCGCTTAAGTTTCGTTCCTCTATTCTTAATCCTATTTTCCCCTTGCTCTTTACCGTCCCCTTTTCTCTATATAACTACCCTTAACGTCGCCTGCTGGACTCCGCGAATAGAAACTGCAAGTATTGTATTGAGTTCGCAAATTGTTTGTTATATTTCCCCTTTTGCTTCGCCCCCCCCCCCAATCACTCCAAGTAAATAAATACATAAATAAATTAAAAATCAAGAAAGGTAACCCCACTGCCCGTATGTAATGTGAGATCTCACAATAAGCAGTAACCCAGTATCTTAGTAGTTTGGTAATTATCTATATTTTCATTGAGTGTTACCCTTTATACCATAATTCCTACCTAGCCCCCATCCCTTCTTCCTCCCCTAGATTATTGTTTTCCCCTCAAAAAAAAACCCTAACGCAAACAGTTTGCTTTTATTATCATTTTTTTTTGTCACAATTTTGTTATACCTATAGTTTGTTTTTTTACGTCCCAGGCGAAATTAAATATGTTATGCTTCCTTTAATTGTCGTATTTCTCCCCTTCTTTTGAGCCCTAACTTCCTCGACCATCGGAGGGCTCATTTCTAATTTTTTTTTCTCCTTTCAAGAGATGGCTCTCCTGATTCGCATAATAAGTAAGCTTTGTATTGGGCTGGTATGAAAAATTCCAATGATTGTTATAATGGCCGTGTTGTGAATTGGGTTTAGCAGTATCTGCTCCCCAGTTGCTATGGCTTAACGTGTTTAGAAGGTTTAGGCCTGGCTGGCATCCTCTTATTATTTGCTTTTTGTGAGACTTTCAATTTAGTTGCTTGTCAAAAGTCATACCTAAGAACTTAGTGGTCTCGACAAAATTCAAGCTATGCCCTTGAAAATTTAGCTGTGGTGTATTAATATTTTGCCTTTTAGAAAACATCACACATTTTGTTTTTTCCAGGTTAGTTTTTGGTTCAGAATTTTTTCCAATGCACATGTCAGAGATATTGGTCGGTGTGATTCTGGATTAAGTTTGTTTTTGTTGGGTTTTGGTATTGGGATTATTATAGATTCTGACCACCTCATGGGGAATTTGTTTTGGGTTCTCATAACGTTAAATATCTGTCTCATATGCTCTTTTGCGTTAGCCGGTAAGTTCTTCAACATCGCAATTGGGATGTCGTCCGGTCCAGGTGAGCATTCTTTAGTCCATCAGTGCAGTCTCGACTTTTTTGGAGATGTCTACGTTGATTGGGTCGTATTTGCGCTCCATTGTTATTTATGATGTTGATACATAGGCACTTGGAATAAAGGAAAATCAAACGCCAGTTTCAGAATTTGGTTTTGCGTATGCGCAGTGTCAACTTTTTATTTATGGAAGCATTTAAATGAAATTTGATACATAGGCACTTGGAATCATTGAAATAAAAGACTAATGCCCGTTTGCACCGACAAATTTAAGCGGAGCTTAGCTTAAGCGTCCCTTAAAATCCATGGCAACCATTGTCTCAATAATCGTTGCCATGGATTTTAAGGGACGCTTAAGCTAAGTTCCGCTTAAATTTGTCGGTGCAAACGGGCATAAGGAAGGAAGGTTACATACATAAAACATACGCTTGTTAAGGGTTCTAATTAAGCTTCTAATGGGCTCGTTCATAAGACACAACAGATAGGTACCGCTACGATCGTATCGGAAACAGTTGGGGTCTTATGTCATGATACAGTCTTATGTCACGTTCCTTACTTTGACATATATAGCGGTACTAAAAATGGCCGACTGCTCCGTAAAGAGCGTAAAAGTAGCGACGTAATTATAAGACGTATCGATAACTGTTCCACAATAGTCGTGTCTTATGAACGCGCCCAATTATGACCGACTTTGACAATTAATTGACATTTACGGTAAAGTAAAACCACAGCCGTCTATAATTACAAGCCATGCCGAGAAGTTTGGCAACGTTGTTTAAAAGTCAATCGGTGGACCGATTCAAGTTTTAATGGCGTCTTGTTTCTCTTGAAAAATGGTAGAGGAAAACCTCTCTCCTGTGTTTCGCCTTGATGGTTTTAATACAGAAGAAAGATACTTAGGCAGCTCACAGTTTATGTACCTATTATATTACCTAGGATCCTATTAGGCTACCAATATGGCGGACATTCATACGCGCAGTGGCGTACACACATTTAATATATTTAATTTTTTGGCGGAGAGTACTGAACTTACATACATTTTACTCCAGATAGATTCATCACTTTTTATAAACGAAACCCATCTATCTCACCATTCACTGTCTAAAGGAAATCTGAAAAGTAGATGTATTTAAAAAACATGATACAATAAATATAAGATATGATATTGCGCATGTGGGAGGAGTTATGAATCACGTGTGTGACGTCACGTGGTGAATTTCAAATTAAATATAATTATCTGTCAGTGTAGATTTTGGTGCTTTTTTGGAATTTGTGAATTAGTTTTCAACAAAATGAGGTGTTCCGTGGTTGAATGTACCACAGCTAATGGATCAAAACAGTTTTCAAGCAATCTAATGTTTTTCCGGTTCCCGAATGATCAAAATATTCAAAAGCGTTGGGTGTTAGCTTGTAACCGGCCAGGTCATATTAATGTGAAAACTACCAGAGTATGTTCGAAACATTTTGACGAGTCGTCTTATGAACGAAATTTGCGGTTTTAACTACTGTGCTATAACGCCCGAAATCGTCGACTGTTGAAACCAGACGCCGTACCATTTTTCAATTTGCCACTGGGAAACTCAAAGGATCTGAAAGAGGAATCGGCCCGAACCAGTTGCATTAACAAAAGAAATAGGTCAAAATTAGTTGCGACTCTCCTACAAACCAGGTAAGTTTCTTGTTTTGGTGTATTTGAAATTGGTTTAGAGACGTTTTCAGAAGCAAATCTAACCTAAAGTATTATTAGCTATATTTCAAGGTTTTGTTTAATTATAGGAGTGTTGGTGATGGTAGTAAATTAAAACATCCTTATAAGCGAGTAATATGGACAATTGAAGATATTTCTAAAGCTATTATCATTCATTCAGCTGGTACAAGAGCCTATAGGTTGTTATGGAAAAAAGGATACCCTTTGCCAGCAGTGTCAACGCTTAGAGCATGGTGTAAAAAATTCCATTAATGCCTGGAATATTAAAGAAGGTAGTAAATAATAGTGTTTGACTCCATCTCATATCTCAGTGTTCACGAGATTACTAATTTAATATGTTATGTGTACTTGTTTATTTAATATTTTGTAAATAACTTGAGACTATTCTAATAACAAACATGTCTTTTTTTGTACCTACTCCTTTACACTTCCTGATGTCCGATTTACTTTTTAAATTCTATATTACCAATGTATCTACCAATAAAGAACAATAATTCAATATATTCTCATCTTATCGAATGCGTTTTTGAAACTAGTAAATTATAATTTGTGTACCTACATAATTCAATATTTTATATTAATCATTTCGTTTTTAATATCTACTCCACAATGTTTAGATACTTTAGCATAAGTAGGTATCTTACCATATTATGAAAAACGCCTGCATTTCCTCTTTTTATGGTGCGCTTAATTATAGCTTATAGCATTTTTAAAGCTGGTCTTTAACGATCTCTTAATATTTTTCGGCATATTTTGCGTTTAGGTTTTATAATTTCAACTCTCTTTTTCCCCTAAACCATTATAATTAAGAAATTATAGTATTTGTAGCAGAATTAAGAAAAAAATCCGGCTTTAAATTCAAATTTTATCACCGCGTGACGTCATGCGCGAACTGGACGAATTTGGAACGGCAATCTAGCATATCTTGTTTTATTTATATCATGTTTAAAAATGTTGTTTTACACAGTTTTACATTAGCCTACTCATTTAAACCTATGAAATGTCATTGCTATAACATAAAATAAATTGGCGTTAAAAGTGATTGTAATACTGAGAATATTTCGTTGTATCGGTTTATTTGTATTATATGAAAGATTAAAAGGTTCTTATTTCTTACCGACATACGATATATGGCGGTCTGCCTGTCTGTATTCTGATTTCCGGCTGAACGGATTGGAACCGAATTTGGTCGGTAGGTACACATATTTTTAGATATAAATCTTAAGAGAATTTTTCGAAAGAAAAGCTAAGAGAATTGAATTAGTTGTTGTCATTGCGCGTTTTCTTCCGAGACATGGGGCGAAATGGTGTGCAAATTGTGCATGCAGCGGTTGCTCTCCATCGCGTTAGATCGCCGCGCGTTTTTTCGCTTTTGAATAGAAGTTTTCTGCAATTTTCTGCACAATTTTTGATTTTGACATATAGAGATTATAATTGCACCCACTGAACAAATAACAGCACTTTAGTAAATAATAGAAATGAGAAATAATAAAAAACTCGATTAAATTTTTAAATTACATTTATTTAAAATTAAACAAACATTAAAGTTATATTGAATCACCTTGAGACATTGTAAGAGTAATGGTGGGTTTATAATAATCATTATCATTAGTTCACTAAGCTCAGGATGGTTTCGTTGGTTAGCAACGCGCAATAAACCTCAGTTTCTATTGGCTATTTCGGGTTTTGATAGTGAACTAATGATAATCTTATATAAACCCACCATTAGTCAGTTTTAAATGTCGTAACTCCTGAGACTTGGCATAAACATAAACAATGTAAAAATGTTATTCATTGTGAGACTAAGCCTATTTATATACAAGTTACCTATTTAGAAATAAATGTAGACATATGACGATATAAGGCGTGTTCACTTCTTGGATGCTGGATTTATAAACTGTAGAAAAAATACATATACAATTGTAAAGACGCACACTTGATAACAAATGTTCGAAGTAAAAAGTTGCCATTGATGACGAGGTTTGTTACATGCAGTTGAAAGGTTTGTATGGTAGGCATCGTAATATCCGACTTCTAGGGTACAATAATAATTAATTTATTTGCTTATGTGTTCATACATAGCAGATATGATTTTAGTCATGCCATATTTTCTCATTGGCATCAGTGGCATGATTTTTTTGGTATAAAAAAAATGTCAACCGTCACAGGTCAACTGGATCATATATAATTGAAAAAGTATAAATTGTTGAGGAATCATTATTTTAATCTAGAGACTGTATGTTAATCCATTTCATCATAGACAACTGTTACTTATAAAGTTTTTGTAAGTATGTTTAGAATGCTTACTGTAGTTTTTAAATCTGATTTGTAGTCAAAGTTAGGATTATCTTCAATTCCAATTAAATCTGAATCGCCACTTCCCATACTAAAAATTTCATTAGTAAATACAAATGCTGTATAAAGACAAACCTGTAACGATCCCGATCAATTTCCTGAGCTTTTTCACCATCTCTAAAAACTGGATTCGATCCTTCTGTCGTATTTTTATTTGTTGTGGGTGCTGCCAAACCTATTCTATTCAAACCAGATTCTTGAGAACCGAACTTTGGGCAGGACAGTTTATTCAATCGTTTCAATAAACTAAAACACATAATCGGTTTAAAAAACCGCAACTCTATCTCTATGAAATGTAGTTGACCAACTTACTAACGTCGTCCATTATCATCCTTTGACGTTTTTATTATCGAATATTTCAATTAATTATAAAATGGTTAACTGTATAATTAATTGTAGGTTTATATTGAAGATAAGATTATGCACACCTCGTTTACTTTCATTTTGTGTTAATATCAATTATCAAATGATTGGACTGGACTAAATGTACCTACCTTCTGGTTTTTATGATGAAAGCGATAATCAAAACGATACATAGGGTTCCCAATACAACTGAAACTGCTATTAGCCAAGCCTTATACTTTCCTTCAGAGTCTTCAGGTTGTGTTGGATTATTCGTGTTTAAAAGTTCAATGCCAGCATCCTGTAAAGGCGACTTAATTTTCGCAAAGATCTCAGGATTACTGAGTAACCTGAAATACACAAATTGGACAATTAAAATTTGAAGCATCAGTAGGGATCTTGCTGGTACGTGTTGATCAATAAAAAGTCCTCGTCATATTTTAAAAAACCCAGAGCAAAAGCAGATGTCTAATAGTTTGCTATTTATTAAGCGGCAGAGCAAAGCGATGCAAGCTTTATAGGGGAGTCGATGGTGTTCGTCTGTCCGTGAACACGATAACTGTCAAACGCTTGGACCGATTTGGTTCAAACTTTGCACAGTTGACCTACATGCCACATGTAATAAGCCTATTGAAAATGGCCAATTGGTCAATTCCAATGACCCCGTACGGTCACGCCTCTCTGCCTCGGGCAAACTCTTGAAGCTATTCGGTTCAAACTTTGCACAGTTAACATACAGGGAATTTTTTTAAATGCGAACATAGGAGTTTGCATACAATGTAATTTCCCTATGTTCGATTTAAAAAAAAATTATCAAAGTCCTCGTGTGAGATCGAAGGGACTTCAGCGCATTTTTGTGTGGCAGATCAGTGTTTTATTAGCCAATATTGACTCCACCATCAATAAGATCTTGCCGAAAGCTACCACGTTCACTTTGTCGGTACCATTTTCTCACTTACCGTGCACTCGCAATTCGCGTTTTAAGTTTTGACTCCACCATCAGTAAGATCTCGTCGGGGGTTACCACATTCCCTTTGTCGATACACAGTTCCGACGTCCCGTTCATTCGTAATTCCCATTTTGGTAGTTTTCGCTAAAATCCCGGCATAAAATCGTATTCAACTTTTGGGTACTTCACATAGCTCGACCTTCTATTAGTGACACGAGAAAGAGAGACCGCGATTCGCGCTGTAAGAAACTTTTGGGCGCCCAAAGTCGACTACCCCTCGAAGCGCGCCGCGCAAAAGGTGGTTTATTTCGCCCCTAGGAAACAAGAACAAAATTCCGCCACGCAGGAGTTGTGCGCGTTGACAAGATCTTCCCGACGACACCAATTTGAAAACAATCGGAGAAAAACTGTAGAAGAAGACAGATAAAAACTGAAAAATCTCCAGGTTAGTATAATACGCTCGGGGATGGCGTCCAGATGTCGTCGACTCCAAATCTTGTAGCCCCATCCCTAACGTTCTTAATTACACGGCCCCGATAGTTACATGTACACTCCTTGTCTTTTTACAAGCGTTTTTCTACGGGCGCGCATTTACTGCCATCCAGCCAGCCAGCCAGCCAGCCAGCCAGCCAGCCAAAGTGAGATTAAAAGCTACTTTTTACAAAAAAAAATTTTTGCAAAAATGCGCTAAAAACACATCAATGTATTGAGTAGTTCAAATGAGTAGTAGATACAATTGACAGCTGTCACATTTTTAAAAATACCGCCGTCCAATTTAATTACGAAATCGGTTAGGTTATTGCTTATAATGTCAAGGAGGACACTTCGAACATTTATTGTAATTGTTTGCGTTATTTATTTTCTTATTTTCTTCATTTATGTATTGAATAGATCAAATTAGTAGAATAGCAGGTGCACATGACCTACAAATAATTGAAGGTTGGTTCACAATGAATTGTGATGTCAGCGCGTGCCATGTGAAGTCAAGTTTTCGTAAGTTTAAGAAAAATGTATCCTAAAGTTGCTATGGGCTCACATGGCTTATTTAAAAAAATCTTACCGAGTGCTCTTCATCATAAAGACTATCAGTTGCTGTTCATAATCACACAAGTTGCGCGATTTGGGAATGTAAACCGCGCACACCTCATAGATTGATGTGTTTTTTTTTAAATCGAACATAGGGAAATTACATTGCATGCAAACTCCTATGTTCGCATTTAAAAAAAACTCAGTGTATATACGATACATACAATATAACAATACAATTGAAAATGGGTCAAATCCAATGACTCCGTGGGGTCACCCGAGGTGCTCTGCCGCTTTTTTAAACGCTCTTTATGAGTTTATTTTTGATAAAAGGGGTAGGCAACTATAAAAATTATCTAATTTAATTGTTGTTATTTGCATTTTCAGATTCAGTTTTGCAATGTGACTTGATTATCTTTTAAATTCGCACCTCCAGATGCAGTATGGTGCTTAATGCTTATGGACATAGAGTAGGTACATGCTTGCCAAACGTGGTCATTGTCACAAGGACAAGCACAAGGCACAAGGAGATTAGTTGTGTTTTAATAAGACGCCATACTGAATCTGGAGGTATGAACGCAGTATAGCAACATTTAGACCTTGAAAACTTCAAAACTTGAATTTTGAATCATTTTGTCGTGTGTCCAACAACTAATGCATTGTTGCATTTCTCCAGTTAATCCTAAAAGGGTGCCTACAAACTATATCACCAATATCTCACTTTAAATTATTGATAAGAGATCTAATCGGAAATAAATTTCACTGGCCCAATGAAAGTAGACACTTACTGTAGCACATATTTACTAGCAACAGCCTCATTTGTTTTCTCATCTACGAAGTACACAACCACATCGGTTTGCCCGTCAATAACTTCACCTGCGTCGTTGGTCGATCTACTGATTGCTTCAATGTGACATACGTATCCAAAAACTTTTCCTAGAGTTTCTTTAATCTTTAAAACAACAACTTAACACTCGATACATTATTTCATGAGGCAGCCTTACTAATTCCTCCTTCGATTGTATCAGTGATCGTTCGTTTTGAAACCTAAATGTAACTTTGTTGGAGTCGGCAACAATATATATTTTGACTGTGGTTGTAGTTCTGTGGTCGGCTGAAAAATAATGTTAATTAGATCTCTAAACCGAATTTAGATCAAGCTTTTTCAAACATGTGATTTAATTTTACCACAAGGGCTATGTGAAGGCAGATTTTCGTGGAAGTAAAAATTAACAGCAAAGCAGCCGAACTTGGTAGGTGTATTACAAACGACCAGCTTATGGGAGTTATAGACAAATTTAAAAGAAAACCATTTGATTTTAGGATTCTTTACATTATTGACATCGAGACGTTTAGGTTTTAGATAAAATGATGGAAACTTAAACAATAAATTTAAAGTATAATGTACGTACCTCCATCAATCACCATAACTTTAAAACGGAAATAACCTGCCATACTTGATTGCACTGAGAAATTTAGATGTACATGAACATCAGCAATAATATTCCCTTGTTGCAACTTTGCTCCTGGTTTCAAGTAAAAGGGCACATTCAAATTATTAATTTCATCTCCAACTGCTTCAATCCTTCCCTCTATGTTAAAACATAGCTCGCCTTCATCATCTAAGTCGATTGCCTACAAGTATAAATATTTATCCGTAGGTATATAAATTGGTCTTGTAGAGCGTAAATTTCATTGAAGGACCCGAGTAGAATTTAACAGCGAGGGTAGATGAGGAAAAAACATGTGAGCAATCGAATTTATATATTGGTTGCGTAATTATCGGATACCACGCCCTCCAAAAGCGATCTGAGTGACACTGATTTAGTGGAACCATGGCCGTCGCTAATTGTGAGCATGAGGAGAAAGAGATTGGATTTATTCAATATTTATCATTGACATGAAATCTCAAAAATAATACCTACTAACCTACCTACATGGAGTTTTAGTTAAACGTTTGTGGGAAAGTGAAAAAGGTAGCTTTTTGAACATTTGTATTTAGGAGTTACTTTGAAGGCCGAATCGATGTAATATATTGTCAACATGGTCGTACTTCCGAAAATACTGCAAGTAGCTAGTAATTTTGTTATTTTAAATAGCAACCCCTATTTTTTATTGCATTTTTGGATTCTACGTGAAATTTCAATTCTTTTGATACCCACATGTCGATATCTACCATGGTTTTTAATTTATTTTGACTTAAAAAAAATGGCGGATGCAGATGATACCTTGATAATTGATTACTTATGGAAACGGTTCTAGTTATGGTAATCCATTTTTACCAGTGCATAGTGCATAGAGAAAGAATAGGGCTTTCTTTTAGTATATACTTACAAAAAATTAACTTGCATATGGAGATCCAAATTTAAAAAATTTCAAAGACAAAAAACCATTTTCTTACTATTGCATTAGATAGAGAATTGAAATTGACATATTTTGTTTAACTAGGGTCTAGGCTAGTACTGTGTAATGGGGATAATAAAAGACAAAAATTTACGAGCAAAAAAAACTAGCAGGCTATGTAAGTTGCCTATGTTAAATCATTTAGCGATCTCTTTCAAGGTTGAACAGAGCGTGTAATAGAAGAATTTGCTGACAGCAAAAAAAAGATCGTTCACTGGTATATTATTTTATTTTGTCAACTCCTTGCTTCGATATTTATTTGGTTTCCCTTTCCTATTCATTGCAAACGGTGTACCCCCTACCGACCTACCGTTGTATGAAATAAATAATAGAAATGGGGATAGGTAACATTCCTTTACAATAAGCATCAAAATTTTACGTTATTTTTAGAACAAAGGGTTGTTGTATATTGTTGTTGATGTCTGGCAAGCGGCGACCTTGTGTGGGTGTTTATTTGTAATGCGATTTGTTTGACCGTCTTCCTTATTCTTTATCTTTGCTTATTGCAGATTAAAATACCGTAAATTTATAATCCATACCTTGCTGCCAATTAAATTTTTTGAACTTCAATAGTATCATTGAATAAAGCTCTTTATTCAATGATAGTATCTGTTATATATTAGTATTAGATTAGTTTAGTGTAATGGGTGATAATTGACCTATACAGGATGATTCAAATTCGAGAACCACCATGGTGATCTCGGGAACTGTAAGAGATAGGTAGGTAGTTTACATTTGACAAAGTTGCGTATTTTTGATGCTTAACAAAATGCAGATTTGAAACTGAAAAATTTCCGACTATTTTCGGAGAAAAACGAAATTTTGTAAACTCGTTTTTATTTTTTACTGAAGACTTGTAGAGGGAAAAAAGTGGCCATAATAATATGTCATTTATTATTAAATATCTTTGTAAATAACTTCAGTAAAAACAAAAACGATTTTCAAAATTTCGGTTTTTTCCGGATATCTCCGAAAGTAGTCAGTATTTTCAGTTTCAAAACTGCATTTTGTTAAGCATCAAAATACACAACTGTGTCAAATATAAACTACCTACCTATCCTATCTCTTACAGTTCCCGAATCCCGAGATCGGAGATACCCATGGTGGCCCTCGAATTTGAATCAGCCTGTATATTACTAATTTACAAAAGACCATCCCTCGGATTTAAGACATGGGGAAGAGAGATACAAATGTATATTTAGGTATAAACGGCTAAAAAATGTAAAAAAAATCGGTATACCGTATGTCCCCGGATTGACTTTACAAGAAGAAAAACTTACTATAGTTTTTGACAAAAATGCATTCTCCATAAAAGCTTTTGCTTTTTCTAATTCGAAATTTCCCTACCGAGAGAAAAATACAAAAAAAAAAACGAAAATATGGTTGAACTTTTTCCAAGTCCTAAAAGTCAAAACGCGTCTCTACTGTAATAACATTTCGATAGTTACAAAGTCTTCATTACCTCAGTTAGGTACCTGTTATTTGAATAAGCACTAGGATCGTTATAAGTATAATCATTGAATATCCAACTCCTCAGAATGCTTATTACAATAGTAATATATGGGGAATTATTTTTTAACGAGTTAAAGAACCTGTAGATACAAAATTAGCATAATTATAGCTGGGGGGAAAACCAAATATATAGTGGGTTTAAGTTGTGGAGTTTCCTAACAAATCAAAAGCTATGACTACCTACCGACAGAGTGCAATGTCGGCAACAGCGATCTTTGCAGCGACTTTTTACACAAAGCGCGGGTATTGTAACGTCCCTAATTATTTTGCCGTAGTAAATCTGCACGATTTACGTTTCAAAATTTGAGAAGAATTAATTGCAAAATTAGGAATATTTCCGTTTAAAGAATTAATTTTCATTTCTTAGTATAATTACTCCGAACGCGTATCCAAATAAATCGAGAGGCCTTGAACTATATTTTAATAAAGGCATCATTCAGTCACACATGTCTTGAGCACGTTAATCAATGGCCATCCATTGATAATTTAATTTGTAAAGGTGCTATCGCGGAGAGAGTTCTTCACTACGGTAGATTCAATCAAGTTTAACTTATTTTTAAACATTACAATTTTTTAGTAGTAAATATTGATTTATTTTACCCACAGGGATTTAATTAAATTGTTGTTTCATTGTCCCAAGGTTGGACGGTTTTTTTAGGTAAATTGGTTTTTTTAACTCTGGCATTATCCCATTTAGGGAATTTGTAATAGATTAGTTGTCCCAAATTCTTTCCGTGTAGAATGTTAGTTATCAGCGCCTTCTAAGGAGGTACCTACGTCTACCGACTTCGAAAGTTAAAACGCGGTTCTGCAATGAAGTACCATTAAAAACTACTTATATTACGGCTTTGTGCAATCTGTGCTTTGATATGGTTTGCTGGCGGGAGGAGGAGCGGCCCAAAAATATTTAAATAAGCTAGAGGTGGCACAAAATCTGATAATCAAAATTACGACTAAAAAAATTCTCGTTATCCATCTCATCTGTTATTCAAGGACACCAAACTTTTTACAATTAATCAATTTTACCTTTTATCTGTATCTCGCTTTATATATAAAAATATTAATAGTCTTAGAATTTCTGCAACATACTTACAACACGAGGGCAAAAACAAAGAATCTGGCGTATAATTGAAAAGTATGTAAAAAAGCTGGTCAATCTTCTAAAACAAAGGATATTGACGGTCTTTGCTCATACGTCATAAAAAAAAATGTATCAAGCTTGGTTTCACCACTAACAAAGCTAATTAATTTATGTATCTCCGAAAGTGTTTTCCCAGAGAAACTTAAAGTAGCTAAGGTAGTGCCGATTTTTAAAAAAGGCAATCTAAATAAACCGACCAATTGTAGATCCATTGCTCTTTTACCGGTCCTCTCAAAAATTTTTGAAAAAGCTCTTGCGCTACAAGTTATAGACTATTTCGAAACCAACAATCTCTTCAACAATCAGTTTGGCTTTAGGAAGAACATGAGTACTTCAACAGCAATTTGTAAATTCACTCAAGAAACATTAGACGCCTTTGAAAAAAAAATACCCGTTATCGATCTTTTTAGATCTATCAAAGGCTATTGATTACGTTGCGCACGATATTTTACTTCAAAAGTTCACAAAATATAACTTTGATTCCAATAGCGTTAATTTAATACATTCGTACTTAAATCGCAGGTATCAAGCAGTTAACACTAATGACCTTTCAAAGTTATTGCCAATTAAAGTTGGTATCCCCCAGGGTAGTATATTAGGTCCGTTGCTTTTCATAATTTACATCAACAACTTTTCAAATTGTCTGAATGTAGATAATAATATCAGTATCACTCATTACGCTGATGATAGATACCACGATAACATTAAATGGTAAAAACTTAAATGAATTAGAATACAGTAGCAACGAGATACAACTCAAGGCTCGGGATTGGTTCGCAGCAAATCAGCTGCTTCTAAACATAGATAAAACACAGCGTATGATTTTCACATTAAAACAAACCCAAGAAGAGGAAAATACAAAATCGGTATCTTTTTTATGGGTCACCTTAGACAAAAAACTAAACTGGATAGAACACACGAACCAGCTAGCAGCAAAACTAACTACAAATATCTTCATGCTAAGAAACTAAAACTATCACATATCGTTCACATGGCCGCCGTGACTTCGTTGCGTGGCATATTTTATATTCAAACAAAGGTGGCACGTATACGATCCAATTTTCGATTACTCTGGCACACAAATCGGGCTGAATCTCGTTGATGCATTGAGTAATGTTGTCTTTAAGGGCATCGGTGGTTTACGATTCGCGTAGATGATTATTATGATTTGTCAAAACATACTGAATAAATTACAGCCAATTTGACAGATGTAGTTAAAACGCCACAATCAACTATCAAAGTTTAACGTCCCTATTGGAAAACCCTTTATAATTCATAGGGTAACTTTGCGAATCCAATGAGGGGTATATTTTGAAAATATCTTTACAATTAAAAAAATGAGGATAAAAAATGTATGACGATGCACTGAGTAGCGGCTGTCGCTTTTCAACCGATTCGATGAATCCCCTAGCTCCATTGACTTCAACTTGCGTAAGTAGGCGTCTTCTTGTTCATACTTGAACTTAATCTTCTCAAAAAGATTTTAATTTTTCTCAATAAGTAATAAATTTAATAATTTATTGAGATTTTCATCATGATACAGTATCATGGATTTTCATCGCTATGCTCCTCTTCTTGTGTGCCATGTGAAGTGTATTTTATTAACACACACTTTTCCACGACATTCACAATTTTGAAAAACACGTGCCACTTTATTTTTTTTGTAAGAACACCGTCCCGTTTTACGTCCTAAAAGTAATCCGGATATGGTTGTCAGAATGGGGATTCACCACCCCTCTCGCCCCCTTCGACGAAGGTGGTCGTACGGTACGCCGTAAGTTGGGAGCCTTAGAAAGTTTTTATTAGGTCGTCGGGTATTCGCGTAGCGAAGGATAAAGCGGAGCGACGTCTACGATGGCCAACTTTGCACCCCCCCTCACCCTCATCACCAAACGAGAGTTATGTCGGGGTAACGACCCCGTACGTTAGGCTCGGGACCTTCCGGGCTTTACATCGGATGCGCTCCGATGGAGAAAAGACGTCACGTTTTCGAGCAACTTAGGCCTCTTTCCACACACGTGTTCCGGTACCGGTCCGCCCCCGCGGGGGGGGGGGGGGGGGCCGCGACTTCCGCGCCCAGGCCTTTCGAAATTTTTCCTTTTTTTGGGCCGTTTGGACATCGGTATCAACAGACTGGGAAAAGTGAAATTATTGAGGCATAGCTGTATATGATGATAAAATTATATCTGCGTCTTCTAATCGATGTTTAATTATCTGCATATTCATCTCAATGACTAATAAATTAGTCTAATTACTTGTTTACTTTATACAATGGTTGGGCAGGTACATTTTTCGATCTTTGTCTACTCGTTACCGTTTCATTGCAATTAAGTATTAGCCAACCCAACATACGTCAAATAGAATTAAAATTTAAGTGGAATACATCCTTAATGATAAAATGCAATCCTTTTTAGTTTTTAATATTAGTATTATGATGTGCAAGTGCAGTGCACATTTAGCGCAATTATGCTCTAACAACACCGTCTGTAATCACAGTTCCTCAAAGGCGCCCCCTGTTAGTGGATAACGGTAACTGTTGTGATTAAAAATTCGCTATTATTGAAATATCTAATCCGCAGGGTGCCATCTAGCGGCAACGTTTGGCATACCTCAAAACGGCAAGTTCCGCGGCGCCCTCTGCAAAATAACGGCAGGCGACATACTCCAAAGTCTGCCGCTCATATAAGCATTCTGAGGAGTTGGAAATTCAATGGTATAACAAACACACTTCGTAATGACATTGAATAAAAACTTCTTTATTCAATGGTAACAATGAAAAAGAATTGAATTTCCAAAGGTGTTTTCTTAGAAATGTCAGCGTTTTACCGTTAAGTGAAGGAATCGAGAGTTTTACTGAGGGCCCTTCCAAACAAAAAGCCCCTGTCGCCACTTGTGAACCAATTTTACGACCTTAATTTTGAAGGTCCCCCATGCCAATAATTACGCGATTTTTACTTCATACGTTACGTTACAAGCGGTTCATTATTCTCCTCAAGTTATGTGCGGTAGAGAGCTAATTAAGCTAGCAGTCTGTAAGGAGCCGTGAACGACCTTGCGTTTGTGTTTTGTATCTTCTTGTCGTCAGGGGCGGTTCGTGGAGTTCGGTAATGGGTGGGCAGACGAAGTGGCGACCAGAAATTAAAAATTCCCTATACACAAGATTTTATAGTTTTTTTAATAGGTATATTATTTTTCACGATCACCCAGTCCCTAATGTTACAATTTATGCGCGAAATACTTCGTTAACCCTTTTTCCATTGAAATAGTAGCCAAATTACAAAATCGCCTTTGATTTTTAAATATTTCATTATATACCCGACTAAAATATGTTCAAAAACTAGATTAATTAAACACATTTAATAAAAATAACAAAATCATTTAACATCTTAAGCCTATAGCAGCGCGAATGATATTTCCGTATGATTTGCAAAAAAATTCCGCATTCTTCGACTTTATAGCTACTGAAACTTGTAAAATTGAATTCAGTATGACATGTGAGCGTATGCACAAATATTGCGTTGAAAGACGAATGCATCCGATGGGCTGGCCCGCACCGCACGAGCTTTCGAAGTACGAATTTGAATTGACGTCTCAGGAAATAATTCTTATGCTGTATTTTAGAATTTTAAAAATACCATTTTCGGCTTTGCTGTTGCTCGTCTAAAACTGAAACACATAGTAAAAAAACTACCGACTGAAAGCTTTTGGTATGGAAAAAATGCAAAAATAGCAAGATTAATTTATTGTTATTTCGCAAGATGCGAGCGTCTCAAATGAGCCAGCCCACCTTGCCACATGCATCGGAGGTGTGGTTGAACATACACGCGCCACATCTCCTCTTTGTCTTTCTCATATGATAGGTTAGTTGCGTTTGTCGTAGAGCGATCGGTCGCTTTGGGCTCGACCACCTTGCTATATTATTTAGCACGGGCGAGATACAGAGTAGATTTGCGCTCGCCGCTCGGGCCTTTCGGTGAAAATGAAACGTTATATTAATACAAGTTTTGGAATCTGTTGTTTTATAAAAGAAGCACAGTTAACGAAAGAACTGTTACTGAACTTAAACAAAAAAAGAAAATTAATTTTGTTTTTTCGTTTTCAATTTTCTTTTACTGTATTTTTTCAGGGTGGGCACTGCCCACCTTGCCCACCCTGACGAGCCGCCACTGCTTGTCGTGTGGTTATGCAAATCAAATTGCATTTTTTTTAAAGCTCCCTCTGTGTTGTTTGGGGCCCACTTAAAGAGAGTATAATGATTTAAATATTTGTATAGAAAACTGCTGTAGTTACGCTACTCATTATTAGGTACCAGCACAGTCTAACGAAAAAAACTTTGTCCTTTACTATGGGTACTTCTCTTTTCAGGCAATCCCAGCCTTAAACTTTTAACGTGCGACACTGATTTATTTTAGACTTGGTAACAACGTCGAGTTGTGTGTTGTAGATATACAGGGTGACAATTTGAAAACTTACCACCCCCCATGTCTTAGTGAATAAACGAGATATTTAAAAAATCCGTTTCCGTTTCGGTCATTTGGAGGGGGAATCACAATGACATAGGTGGCGACGCACGCACCCCCTCCAACCCCCTGCGCCCCAGCCACCCCAACTTTTAAATCTTAAATAGTGACCCCCCATGTGTGATACGTCGTTGGAAAGCTCTGAAAAATGCTTTCCAACCATACCAAATAGCATTACATTTAGGTTAGTCATTATCGTGCAAATCAAAAAAATAAACTAATATGATACATTTACTAAAGTTGACTTTTATTTCAATAAATGTTCAAAATGGTTTCCGTTATTGGTAAGACATTAGTATAATCTATTCTCAAACTCTTGTCGAACCTTTTCAAATGTTGGTTTTGCAATATTTCGACATTCTTGAATGATTTTCTGTCTTAGTTCACCGGTTACGTTTTAAATACGAAAGATTTCAAATGTATCATTTTTTGATTTGCACTATAATTACTAACCTAAATGTAATGCTATTTGTATGGTTGGAAATGCTTTCCAACCATACAAATAGCATTATATCACGTGTCCTTTTGGCTGTACATATGAATAACTTTCTTGAAAATTAGTAATTGTATGAGACCACTGCTATATGATAGACGACTATCGAAGTGCAGAGAATCAGTTAAGCATTTCAACGACGGAATTTTTACGTTCTACTTTGCCCGTAAAGCTTAACTATATAATGGGGTCACTGGCACGTCAAGATTTGGCGATTCAGACCTTACCTGAAGAGTTAGTATAGAAGAGTCTAGTACATCAGACGCTTTAATTCCTTGATTATATTGCTCTTTAGTGAACTTGGGAGTTTCATCATTTTTATCTTGCACCTGAAACAATACATATACATACATTTCGATAGGAACATTACATATACAGTGCGTAAATTTTGAAGAAATTTCCCATGTTAAACCCATTGATATGCTTGAGAGTGATGCAACCCACCTTACACACAAATTTAATAACTGTGGAAACAAAAGTGTAGCTATTTTAGATACGCATTCGACCGATTTGTTTAGCAGATTCGACTTATTAACTGTGAAACTGTCTTTAAAGTAGTTTTATAGCACGAGTACTTTTTTCAGTTACCGGAATTTTACTCATTTACTGTGAATTGTGGAATTTAATACGGACATGAAATTTCAAATTCTCTAGGTAAATTACGAACAGCGATTTAATTGAATTTTCTTCTACGGGGCATTTAGCAGCAAATAAATCCTGTGATTATTGAAATACATCTGTAACATTGCCATTTTTTCTTCTTTTGTATATACGTTTTATTAAGAATATAATAATTAATAATCTTAATTTAATAAATAATTCAAATATTGGTATTTATTGAAAAACATTTGAAAAAGATGAAAGTAAGTAAGATTGGTTACATATCTTAAAATTTACGCACTGTGTAAGCGTCGTTTTATACTAACCGTAACAGAAACAGTTAAAACCGAGCTATTTGCTGGTGCAATAATTCCGGCTGAATTTTTTGATGTGGTCACTTTAAGCTGAAATTGGGCCACCGCTTCACGATCGAGTTCCTCAATCAAGGTTAATACGGCATTTTCTTTGCCGATTTTAAAATGTTGTGCCATAGCAGTCGGTTGTAAAAAGTAATATGGAGTAAAATTGGCCCATTGTTCTCCCTCCGCATTAAAGAAAGCCTTTGGAAGTGTTTCCGTTAATCCTGTCTCTCCTTCGGGTAGTACAATGTAAGCAGATGTGTTAGGAAATATTGGTTCGGTGGTAGTATCTACAAATCTTATGTTGACCAATATTTCAGATTTTTTGGGCTCTTCTCCTTTACACTGGCAATCGGCGATTAACTTCAACTAAAATGACTTAGATAGATTTATGCTATAAAAATGAAAGATAAAAACCTTGATGCTGGTAATATTTCCTTGCGAAGCGTTTAAAATTAGATTCGCCTTATTGTTTTGTAATTTATGGATGCCAAATATGGTATTGGGGTTGGTCTCTAAAGGAGAAAGTTATCGAGGTACGTAAAATGAACGAAAATAGTTTTTCATGTAATACCTGTGTCAATTGTTATCACAATATCCCATTTCTCATTCTGTTGGTCGCTTACCCTCAAAGGTTCAAGTGGACCCCCTGACATTTTATTTAACGGGGCTTTTATAGGCTGGTCCTACAAAAATTACTTATTACAAACTTATTGATAAAATTAGTATCACACAAACCTTCGCTAAGTAAATAATGTCATTGTCAAGCGGAAATTTAAAAATGGGCGGTAAAAAGTTGTACCTATCCACAGTTACCTTCAAAGACTTCTTAGTTTCTTGATGAGGCGTACCATAGTCTTCAGCCTAAGACGGATTAGATTACTTTGGCCGGATTTGAAAGAAAGCTGTTATTCTTTTTTGGAAATAGATAAAAGTTTTGTATTTTTTTCTTGAATATAAAAGTTACAAGGTTTCACTGTGTTAGGAAAGTTACTTTGATTATGTACCTACTCATTGCTCATGTTAAGGTAAATAAGCCTCACATCAAAGGCACGATAAATATTAAATTGCATATTCGAAATATCAGCTTAGCCGTGGAAACTTACCTTTATCTTCACTTCGTAAGTACCATAATGACTCCTAAGCGCTTGACCTGCAAGCAATGTTGCTTTTGCAGAAAAATGATTGTCAACTCGAATTGTAAACAAATCCTTTGGAAGGTCGACAGCACCGTCCCCCACTTTTACTATTTCTACTATTTCAAAGTTTATCTTTGAGTTATCCGTATTTGCTTCATCTTTATCCGTCGCAATTATTGATCCAATTTCATTATCCTAAAACGCTTGATGTAGTCAGTGACATCAGCATTATGTATAGGTCTACGTACTTTTACCATACTTTCGATCGCTCTAAGCTCGTTAGTTTCTATGATTGGAGCATTATCGTTGATATCGTCTAATATAATTGTAAAAGAATAATCCGTTCCTTGTTGTATGTTAGTGTCTGTAATGAAGTAATCACATATGTTACTTTTCACTACAGCGCTTAAATACATTTTTACACGGATAAAATTAAAAAATTGGAAAGCTGTAAGTAATTAAGATTTTATTTAATTGTCTGTCGAACGCCTGTTTGCGTGGTATGTATAAAAACAGGCTCTAACGTTTTGCTTTCTTCCAACATTGGTGTTTTAATTTCTGTTATGTTTCGCGGAATAAAATGTTGTCTATGGCAATTAATCAGTTGTGTATTTAATCGAACCCAAAGTGTCATGTTTTCATGTCAGATTTTGTGTATGCGTGCCCAAGTATGTCAGGTGTTAATTAAAATATGTTCAGTTAATTCTTTGGAAATGTCGGGAGTTGATCGAGCATTTCAAAATAATAAAATTTAAAGTCAACATTATGATTTTTCTTTATAGTGAATGACGTCCGCCATTCACTATAAAGAAAAATCATACAAGGAAAAATTATAAAGGTTGTTTTTTATGAGCTAGCTGGACATGTGCTTTGCAGGTGGGTTTGTAACCGTCTGCTATTGCACACAGCTATATATCACGTAACGTATAATTTCTGTGATATAAAATAAACTGTTGTAACCGATTCAAATAAACATTATACAATTATCAATCTTTCGAACTGTCCGCAACTACCTCGTTTGAGATACAGAATCTCAGACCGAATTTACCTTGTGTATTTTTGCTTGCGTGAAACATTAAGCCTTACATCTCTAATGCGATTGCAATTGCTCTGTAAGTTTCTAAAATCTTTCTTGGGTTAGGTTCTTGTGCACCGCGCTTTCCCGTAATGTAATTTTACCGTTCGTCTTATTTCGATATCCATGTGCAGCGCTACCTCTAGCTCCCAGATTTCTTTAGTCATCTATTCCATTCTACTTACTACACCGCTCTTTCTCCTTGTAGCCTTGTACAGGATGGCCAAATAAGGATGTGAGGTACTATATCTGGGAACTTGTCCATCGTAGAGGCTTGTGGTAAAAAAATGTATTAAGTACTAAAACGGCCAGGAAAAAAACCTGGAAAATATTTTTAAGTTTCTGAAATGGCCGCTAGGGGGCGTAACTGCAATCTGGAAGCTAAAAAAGTGATTTTTCTGTGAATTCCGCTATATTAACCTAACAAAAAAATGTCCGGTCTTTGAAGACGACGATAATCTGAACCTTTTTTGTTTGACAATTTTTCCTGTATCTCTAAAAATGAAGTGGTGGGGGGTATTCAAAGGTTTCCGTAAAGAACACCCTGTATCTTCGAAAAGACTGAGCCGATTTTAACAAAGTCGAGTAGCTAAATGATGCTCGCGAAAACCGCATCTCGATATCTTGTTCCTAACCTAAAATTTAGGCGAAAGAAAATTTTATACCCTCAAAATTTTATTTTTTTAAGATAATTTTTCCGGAATTATTTTTATTATATAATTTGTGGCCCTAAAGTGTATCGATTTAAAAAAAGGAAGCTTTTAATGCCGCCGTAAATGCTCGAAATGCTGGTCATCACGATATAAAATATGTTGTTTAGGCATCATTTAGCTACTTTTTCATGAAAAAAAATCGTACCAATGCATTTAATTTTTTTGAGAAAATTAACCATTTCTGTCGGAATGTCGAAAAAGGCCCTCAAGCGGTGATATGTGAAACTAACAAAACTTCAAATAGTATAATATTTGTAGCTGAAGAATAGCTCTTTTGAACTAACCTGAGTTTGTTAAAATCGGCTCAGCCGTTTCGAAGATACAGGGTGTTCTTTACGGAAACCTTTGAATACCCCCCACCACTTCATTTGTAGAGATACAGGAAAAATTGTCAAACAAAAATTGTTCAGACTATCGTCAACTTCAAAGGCCGGACATTTGTTAGGTTAATATAGGGGAATTCACAGAAAAATTACTTTTTTAGATTCCAGATTACAGGTACGCCCCCTAGCGGTCATTTCAGAAACTTAAAAATATTTTCCAGGTTTTGCTCGTGGCCGTTTTAGTAATAAATTTTTTACCGCAAGCCTCTACGATGGATAGATTCTCAGATGCAGTACCTCGCATTCTTAGTTGGCCACCCTGTGCTTGTGTACGAATAGTATTCTGGCATTCAACTAAATTTTCTTTTTCCTAAGAACTCATTCTTTATTCATGATTTTTGCATAATTGTTCGACTTGGGGCTTCACATAAAAGGGTTTATCAATGCGACTTAATTGAATCAAAATCGCTAGATAATCGAAAGAAAGTACTTTAAACAGAGGATCTTGATTTTATCGGACCACTCATTTACCTGTTCTGTCCGCATCTCATTGTAGTTATAGATTATCTATTTTAGTGGGTTGTTAATTTTATAAATTACCTTTTGGATTTTGACAAGAAATCAAACAAAATGTTGGTACGTTGAAACTACAAATCAAAATAACTTACTTGTACGGTAATAATTGTCGTTAACCCGAAATGGAATCTTAAACTTAGTTGTTTCACTTTCTCTATCTAGATCGATTTCAGGCTGCGTCGTTAAAACTTTCACCGTTCCGTTAAAAGTGTCAATGGAAAATAACTTTTTAACACTGTCAGAAGCCAACTGGAACCAAGGAGTATGGTAATCATCTGTAATGGAAAATTGTATTTAAATGACTGCTTCTAAAACGTTTTATTGTGAATAAAAGGACAAAATTATTTTTGTGGTTTTTTGAACCACGCCACTTCGTTGCATGGTTAAAAATAGGTATTAATTATACAACATGATAAAGGGATGCTTTGTTTGGTTAGTTTCTCTTTATCGTCGGGTATAAAATACAAAACTTTATTTTATAGCAGAAGCTATACAATAATATATACAATAACGATAAAGGGATATTTTAACCATTAAGTGAGTTAACTTTCATGAGATGGTTAGTTTCCCTTTATCGTCGTGTACTTATAATACAAAACTTTATTTTATAGCAGAAGCCATATAAATCATTGTAAAGCTTCTGACAATTCTGAATTTAATTTAGACGTCAAAAATACCAAGCTTAGGTTCTGCCGTCGTGATCGTTTCTATAGAAACAGAATTATCATATGTTCTGGACGTCAGTTTATATCGTGCATTTGAAATAAGAATGACAGATGTCATTAGAATACACAATCATTTATTTCACTTTATCTACCCCTTAGACCATATAGTACATGGACTGCTATTAGCCCTATGCTTTCAATGCAAAATGGATGGTCACGGATAGAGGGCACTGTAGTCGTGGGTATGTGAATCTCAGGGTAAACTAAAGTCGTATGAACACCACTCAGATCGCGTAAAGAGTAGCTTTTATAGTAACCGCGTAGTACAGGAAGCTTTCAATCCTCCTGATTATCTTCTATACGTCCACAAATCGCAATAAATTTGCTTTTTTTGGCATATCTAGGCGATTAATTAATTGACGTTTGTTAATTTATAGGTTGACAGTCTCAAATCGTGTCTAATCGGACAACTTCGGATAGACTCGTTTACCCTGAAACTCACATACCCAGGCGATGTCCTTGACCATATTAAATTGACATTTTAATATGAATGAGCAGGCTAATTCTCTCTTTAACGGTAAGAGTAGATAAAAAGGCAAGGGTAGATAAAATGAAACAAATGATTGGACATTCTAATGACATTTGTCAGTATCGTTTCCATAGAAGCTTGCTATTTTTGACGTCTAAATTAAATTCAGATTTTTCAGAAGTTTTACAACGGTTTTATTCAATGGATAACTTACAGTAGGTCTTGATTAGTTAACTATGCAACTAAGGTATGCGATTGGTTGATTTTTTAAGTGTCATGAATCACGATATTCAAACGGCCAATCACACTGCGCAATTATCTGATTAACTAGTTAAGGCCATTTAACAATTGAATCGATCAGGTATTAATGTGCCGCGTCAAAGAAATATGGCCAAAGAGATCACCTTATCGCATTATTCTAAACACACTGATTTTCAAAAGGTTCTCGATAACCAGCGAAATGGGGATCATAGAATAAAATTTTAGTAAAAGGGCAGTAAAATATTAATTAGGCGGTAAAGACAATGTGAAAGCACGGTTTCCTTTAGTTTGTTTTTATAAACATACTTCATTCACCATATTTTATATACGCTGGTAGTTTCTTTTTATTCTGGTTTTTGACCACATTTTACAAAATTAAACATACCATCGCGATCTTTATCTTCACACTTTAGAGGGAACTGGACAATTGTTCCTGTCTCGCTCGATTCCGGAATATGTACTTCAGTCGGAAATGTACATGTTGGTATCTTGTTATTGGTGTCGATAACCTCAATTGATATCTAAAACACACAGACAAAAAATAAAATAGTGGACTTCATTTTGTAACAAAGATAATGGCTAGCTATAATTGAACAATAAGTCTACGCGTAGTGGTGTAGGTATTTAGGTATACCGAATTAAGATTAATGATTAACTATAAATAAGAAAATTGCCATTGCGCATACGCAAAACAACATTTTGAAAACGTCGTTAATTTTATTTATATTCGTGGTATTCACATTCAAAGTTTCATTTAAATATCTTTAACATGCGTTAAACCAAATGTTTGACACTGCGCATGCTCAAAACCAAAAAATATCGGTATGCACGGAATCCTTGGACCAAGCCCTTTCAAATGAGCCCTATATCGCCCAAATCGGTTCAGCGGTGTAGAAGAGGCGCTTTCTTTCGACTACTTCGCAATCATGCGTGATTCGTAGGATCATTGGCTAATACCCCCCCAAAGAACGCGCGAATTTAAATCAAAGTGTGGTTAAGTTTACGGAATACACATTTGCATTCGAATTAGGTATTTTTTGTTTGGATTATGAAAATAATTTAAATACAAGTGGAAGCACGATTATGCTCCTCTTCAGTTACAAATATTGACTAACCTAACCTAATTTGAGCAGAATATCCTTGCATTTATAGGTTAGGAATTCCTGATCATAAAACTGTTATGTTCAGTTTGGTCACGATTTTCGCAATCATGATCATAAGATCACGCTTCTAAAGAACGTGATTTGACAATCCAAACGCGTTTGGATCACCGAAAGAAAGCGCCTATTGAGTACGTGTGACGGACGGACGGACAACAAAGTGCAGCCAATAGGGATTTTTCACTTTGAGGAATATACGCTAAAAAGTTAGCATTGTTGTACATGCGTTAGACCAACTTTTTGACACTGCGTATGCACAAAACACAATTTTGCAACTGGTGTTAGATTTTTTGTCTTTAGTCCAAGTGCCTATGTATAAAATTTCATTTAAATGCTTTCAAAAATAAGAAAGTTGGCATTGCGCAGTTTGGCTAATGTAATAACAGACCCGTTTCTTATATAAAATTTGAAACTTGCATCTTGTAGAGAGAAAAAAGTGGCAATAATAATGTGTTATTTATTTCGAAATATCTTTTTAAATAACTTCAGTAAAAAACAAAAACGATTTTTTAAATTTCGGTGTTTTCCGGATATCTCCGAAAGTAGTCGGAATTTTTTAAGTTTCAAAACTGTTAAGCATCAAAATTTAAACTACCTATCTATCTCTTACAGTTCCCGAGATCCCCATGGTGGCCCTCGAATTTGAATCAGCCTGTATGTCAAAATTATTACTTAAATTTTGCTTTCAGGTTCTATATCTTTTATCCTGTGAAAAGTAAAAGTCAAATAAATCCATCTAATATGAAACATTAAAAAATAGCTTACAGGGTGTTTTGTGTAGGTTCAAAGTTGCAAAACTTCATATTAAAAAAATCTCACTTTTTTCTAAATGGAACACCTTGTATATTTTTCTGTCATCTTTTAGCATGTCCATGAACTTGGCAGGCCTACTACAGGAGACCATTGTTCTGCTTACTCATATCGTTAGTGTTCCGTTAGTGCACGTTAGTGCTGCTGAAGAAATCCTTAGTGCACAAAAGGAAACTTACTATTTTAAAAAAATATTTGTGGGCCTGCTAACTTCATGCCAGCTGACCCATTTGAGAAAATCGATTCAATCTTTACACTAGTTAAACTAGCAGCGTTAGTGCTCGTTAGTGCCGCCAATATAAACGTCAGGACTCAAAGTGTAATAGCTCAAAACGTTGTAAAAAGGGGTCTGCTAACTTCATACAGCAGACCCACATTTGTCAAATTGGCTCTGTCCTAATGCGAATTTGAAGCGGCTCGTTAGTGCTTCGCTTGCGAACGTTAGTGCTGCAAGGGATCCACACCAAAAAGGTACCAAACCACCTCAAAATTAAACTTGACTTATTGGGACCTGCCAATAATAGCGAGTTTCTTTATATTTGACAATATACGGTATGTCGGAATTAATTTTTAGGGGGAAAGTTTGTTGATTTTCAAACGCCACTATCTCCTTATCGTACTCGTTTGACTTTTTATTAAAAGAAAATACTTACGACTTTTCACTCCGATGCTTTAAGAAATTAATTTCATTATTCGCCTGTAAAAAATTAAAAATAGTCCCAAAATACATTTCGTTCATTCTCTTCGACTTTTTTTTTAATTGGAAACAAATTTTGCTAGTTGTTTTGTTGACAGCAGAATCTATAGGTTATAGTTAATTTTTAAGATACTTTGGTAGTTTTTCGACACGGATCCATTAAAAGCACTGACGTGTACAAGTGAAGTCCTAACGAGCACTAACGAGGAGCTTCAGATTCGCACTAAGGCAGGACCACTTTAATAAATGTGGGCTTGCTGCATGAATGTAGCAAATCCATAATTTCACGCTTGAGCTCTTACGCTTTGAGCACTAACGTTTGTTTTGCGACACTAATAATCACTAATACTGATTAAAGTAGAAAATCAAACGGACTCGTTTGTTGGTCTACCGGCGTGAAGTTGGCAGGTCCCAAGCCACGTTTGATTTTGAGGTGGTTTGGTACCTTTTTGATGCGGATCCCTTGCAGCACTAACGTTCGAATGTGAACCACTAACGAGCCGCTTTGACAAATGTGCGTCTGCTGCATGAAATTAGCAGACCCCTTTTTACAACGTTTTGAGCTGGTACACTTTGAGCACTAACGTTTATATTGGCGGCGCTAACGAGCACTAATACTTACCGGTCGATTAAAGTAGAAAATCAAACGGATTTCGTTCGTTGGTCTACTGGCGTAAAGTTGGCAGGTCCCAATAAGTCAAGTTTAATTTTGAGGTGGTTTGGTACCTTTTTGACGCGGATCCCTTGCAGCACTAACGTTCGCATGTGAAACACTAACGAGCACTAACGAGCCGCTTCAAATCCGCATTAGGACAGAGCCAATTTGACAAATGTGGGTCTGCTGTATGAAGTTAGCAGGCCCATTTTTACAACGTTTTGAGCTGTTACACTTTGAGCACTAACGATTATATTGGCGGCACTAACGAGCACTAACGCTGCTAGTTTAACTAGTGTAAAGATTGAATCGATTTTCTCAAATGGGTCTGCTGGCATGAAGTTAGTAGAACCACAAATATTTTTTTTTAAATAGTAAGTTTCCTGTTGTGCACTAACGAATTCTTCAGCGGCACTAACGTGCACTAACGGAACACTAACGATATGAGTAAGCAGAACCATGGTCTGCTGTACTAGGCCTGCCAAGTTCATGGACATTCTTTTAGCTCCTCCAAAAACCTTCAACTTTTAATAATAATGTCCTATATACCTACCTATCTCTGATAGTTTTCGAAATATCTTGGTTTTCCTGGTTTTTATATTCTAATAAATATAAATATTACATGTAATTTACATAATAATGAGGTGGCCATGCAAAAAAGGCAATTTTTATCTATCTCGTCCAAAACGAAATTAATTTATTAATTTATTTTTCAAACAATTTATTTTAAGTTCAAAAACTGGAGAATAAGTAAAAACATTTGACTACAAAGCAAATTTAATTTAACTCCTAATGTCATCCAGTCAGAGATATTAGTTTCATTTTTTTTCATATTCACCTCGTTATTATGTAAATTAGAACTTATTTAAGATTAAAATATAAAAACTAGGAAAACCAAGATATTTGTTTATGTTTTACTATCAAATTTATCAGTTTTTACACTTAAATGAATTATTCGAAAAATGAATTAATAATTATAATTAATAAATACTGAAGTAGCAACATACTTAACGGCATTCACCTCGAAGGTTACCGTATCCAGGACCTTCAGATACATACCGGATCGGAGAAGGTTCGGCTAATTAACAATGCATTTTATGCACTTTATGTAATAGACCTCGGAATGTTATCCTTTACAAAAGGAAAGGATTGGAGGTGCTTTTAAATCTACTTCAGCTGACCTTCCTTTAGTTTATCAAATTTTGTATTAAATTAACGTCAGATTTTCCACCTATATTTAACCTCTGTGAACAGTGATTAGGAATTTTCTTTAAAGCGGTTCTTTTGTCCGATGAGTTATAGGGAAACACGACATTCTTTTGGCTTTAAATGTATTCTGTCTAAATTTGTAGGAATTCTTTCGGCTTTTTGATTTATTTTACACTTTTGAGTAATTATTCAATTTTTGCTTTTCAAATTCCATAAGTGTTTTATTTGCGTTCTACCTTTCCGATAATAAGCATGGGTATGATTAATTAAGGATGATTAATTAACGGACGAGCAGCCGAGGATCAATATAATTACAATTACCTACACCTCAAGGATTACATCCTATTTAATCAACCAGAAGAAGTAGAAGAAAAAGTAAATTTGTTACATCTGTTACTGCAGTCAATAACATTGTTTCTCATGAACTCGTATATAAAACAATGCATTGCAGAGAGGTCGTCCCACCTTCCCTTATGAGTAAAAAGGCCGTTTAAAAATTCTGTAGGTATACTTTTCTTCGAAATAAAGAGATTTAATAATAATAATAAGGTGCGAAGTTCAGTACTGCGGCAGTCTGCTCTTCCATTTAACCCCATTACTACATATATTATTAGAAGAAAAAAATTATCAAAGTCCTCGTGTGAGATCGAAGGGACTTCAGCGCATTTTTGTGTGGCAGATCAGTATTCTATTAGTCACTTTTGACTTAACAATGAATAAAAGATCTTGTCGAAGGCTACCACATTCCCTTTGACGGTACCCACTTCCGACGTCCCGTTCACCCGCAATTCGCGTTTGAAGATTTTACTCCACCATCAGTAAAATCGTGTTGGGGGCTACCACATTCCCTTTGTTGGTACCCACTTCCGACGCCCCGTTCACCCCAAATTCGCGTTTGAAGTTTTCACTCCACCATCAGTTAGATCTTGTCGGAGGCTACCACATTTCCATTTTCGGTGCATGCTTATATTACATCCACATTTTTGTGGA